TGAGCCACCCAGGCGCCCCAAGAGACTCTTAAATATGGAGAACAAACAGAGGGTTACTGGAGAGGTTGTGGGAGGGGGGATGGGCTAAATGGGAAGGGGCATTAAGGAATCTACTCCTGAAATCACTGTTGCACTATATGCTAGCTAACTTGGATATAAATTAAAGAAGTAAATTAAATAAAAATTAAAGAAAAACAAAAACAAAAAACATCCACGCCCACACTCACCCAGTCTAAGGTATATTACTTGCTATGTCCCCAATTAAATATATATTTATGGCCTATCAAAATATTTAAAGAATACTGTGAAAAAGAATTCACAGAAACATTTTATTACAACAAAGTCAAAGTCACAATTCCGCCCCTCCCCCCCACCCATATACCCTTTTCGAAGAAGATCATGACTTTCAAAAGGTCCACTTGCTGAAAGTTCAGTAACTGGAATACTGTCCTTTAGCTGAGATCCAAGTCCTCTGGCATTCTACGACACAACCAAAAACACCATTAAATACAAAAAACTTTTTAAAACTTACACTGAACATCTATGTAAAAAACTGTTTAAGCATTAGACAAAAAAAATAAAGTCTCTGCCCTCAAAGAGCCCATAGTCTAGACAATTGTGATGAGACTTAGCATTATGGTAGGGTGATCATACATGGTACACTAAATAATATCAAACTTGGGAGTAGGTAGGATCCCTGAGTTGATCTCTGAATACTGTCATATTGAAAGGCATTCTAGGAAAAAAGAACACAGGTAAAAGAAAGAGACATAAATGAATACGCTACAAGTAGTTTGAGATAACTCCATGTCTCAGTGAGGCAGAGGTAAAGGCAGACTGGCAAAATGAAAAAAGGCTCGAACATGCGAAGAAATTCAGGTTTTATTCTGAAATTGAGAGAGCCTCTGAAGGTTCTGGCATGATCAGAATTACTTTCATCGGAAAGATTCTTCCCCTAGGTTGAAATGATTAGCACAGAATGAAAAAAAGTCGAGGGCAGAATCCTGGAAACCACTACTCCTTAAAAAAGCACAAGGAAATGGGGTTAAGAATGAATAGAATGGCTAGAAGAATGAAGTCACAGAAGCTAAGAAAAAAAAGGGACGTTCAGAAAGTATTTGGTTTCTGAAAGAGGGTACGCCCTATGAAAACTAAATCTAATCAGCATAATGTAAACAAAACCAAAGACTCACAGTACATTGGGTACTACCGTATTATCACCCTCCACATCTACGCTATAAAACATTTAATCAAAAAAAATTCAATAATTATATTTAAATATAAAAACCATTTAATAATCAGCAGGTGATTTATTAAACACCCATTATGTATCAGGTATTCTGGTAGATGCTGAATGTACACCTTTCCCAGGGTTGAGTCTAATGAAGATAAATTAAACAAGCAAATAAAATGCAATAAATGTTACAACAGGGAACACACAAGGGCTAACTTTTAATCACGTGTTGCTCACATACAACAACCCTGTAATTCTGCAGAAAAATGTACAACAGCTACAGGTAGTTTGGTGAGCAGCCTTACACTACTCTAGGAGAAACTACTCTGAGAAACCAGTGTTTTATGTTGACTGTTGGATTTACCCGTGTATTTTATTTGGTCAGGTACTTTATCCTGTCCAGGGTTTCTTCAATCTACCGCCCTACTTCAAGACCTCACACCTGGGTAACCTTAACAGCACTCTGCTGGGTACTGCTGTCTCTAGACTCTTCCACTTTCCAATTCTGCATCTCAAGGTTTTCCTAAAACATATAATCTTCCCCACCAACCTGTTAAAAAAAAAAAAAAAAAAAAAAAAAAAAAAAAAAAAAAAAAAACCACCTTTCACCGATTCACCAATGTCCAGTCTGAAAAACAAAGCCCAATATCCTTATCCTGGAACTCAAGAACCTACACAACAGGCTCCCCAACACAGAAGTCAAGGTTGATCAGGAAATAGAATCTGGAATCTATGTAGTGTGGCCTGTCTCTAACCTCCTACGTGACTATGATCAAGGCATACAATGTCTCTGGCCCCATTTACTTATCCTCCCAGGCACCTGAACTCTTGCCAGGACCACAGTGGTATGATTCTACCTTACCAAATGTATCTCCTGGTACTTTCCCACCAGGAAAGGAACACTCTCTTCCTCCCAGATTGCTTTATTGTAAAGTAACAGAAGGAAAGTTTCTTCTATGCACAAAGAAAAGGAGAATTCTGATCTCTGGGTTCTACTATTATCATTTCCCCCAATTTCCTTCTGTACAACATCAGGATAGGCACCCGATGTTTCTACTAAAGCAGCAGAGAAAACCAAATCTATGAAAAGTATCACGAGTTACACCTCAGAGAGTTTATACAACATCTTCATAATAATCAGCAATATTACCAACACAAGCTTTCTAGATTTGGATGGCCTAGTATCAGAATCAGGGGCCAGGGCGGTTCAGGAGTCTTTCCCAAGCATCACTACTTTTACGTTACAAGGAGATAAAAGGAGTGGAGGGGGGAGGGGATGCACTAAAGATACAGACACACGGGGAGTAACAACTGCTTTGATTTTTACCCCTCCAACGTCTGGCACACTACAAGCTCCCAGAAATGTCTGTAAAGGTAAGAGACGAAAAGGAGACTTTCAGCTGTGGGTCTGTTCGCAAAGCAGTTCCGAGGTCGGGGGTGGGCGAGGAGTTCGAGGGCTCTGGGCCCCCAAGGTTCGCCCCTCTGGGGCAGGGTAGTCTGCAGTGCCGCATCACAGGCTGCACTCTCGGATGTGCCAGCTCGGCGCCAACCACGAGGAAGGAGCCGGGGGGTACTGGGGACTTGGGGACGAGGGGGCGCAGACCGAGAGAAGAGAACCAAGCGAGGGGATGAAGCCGAAGCGCTACTCGCGGGACCCGCGCCGAGCCCAGCCCGGACGACAGCCACGAAACCCCCAACCCCGTGACTCGACAGATCATGGCGCCCGAGGCCGGCCTCATCCTCCCGCCGCCGCCGCCACCCCGGGACGAGCCAGGAGGAGGCGGCCTGTTCCTGCCGGGCCAGGGTCCCGAATCCGCCGGGAACTCAGGTCGCCCGGGGGCTCACTCACCATCTTCAACTTGCTCAGTGAACAGCCTCTCAGCCCCGTTACCGTCAGCCGGCCCCACTGCTCACTTCCGTTTCCGGGGTTGCCCCCCCACATCCGCCGGAAGTGCGTCCGTCCGGGCGAGGAAGGAAGGAGGGCGCGGGGCGCCGGGAGGGAGCCGCGCGGGGCCGGGGCTCCCACGCCTGAAGTCCCGAGGGACCCGGGGCCAAGGGCGCAGTAAGGGTGTGGGCTGGGGGGAGGGTGGGGTCGGGACGAGATGTGCCGGAGGGGAGGGAAGACGCGGACCTCCGCTTAATGATAAACATCCACCGTTGGTACAGTATTTGAAGATGTGCAGTGCGCTTTGGTAGATGCATCCCCTTAGTGAATACAAAACCTCGTCCAAGGGGAGACTACATTTTTCGTGAGGGCAAACGAGGCACAGGTGCAATGAATAATTTGCAGCGTTTCAGCTAGAAAAAGGCAAAAGTAGAACACGAGGCTTTGCCAGTTCATTTTTTAAAACCATAGAACGAAGGTCTGCTATGTTCAGAACCCTGTGCGGAGGCTAAGAATATAGAAATGAATGGGGCTGATGTGGTTCCTAGGCAAGAGGAGCAGCGGAACTGCTGGGGGTGGGGCGGGTGACGTGGAGCGAAGTACGGATGATAATTACCAACATATATTGGGGCTCTTCTCGCGATAGAATTCTAAGCCCTTTACCTGAATTATCCCCTTTAATCTCTTCAATAATCTTATGAAGTAGGCTCTATTGTTATCTCAACTTTATAGGCAAGGAAAGCAAGACAAAAGAGTTTAAATATGCCCAAGGACCCAATCATCCGTTTTCAAAGCATTATACTGTGTTGCCTTCCAAATATAACGCGATAAAATGGACTCCTACTCTGTTACCATATAATGGGGATAACTTAAAGAATCCTTGGGCTGATACTGAAAGGTAGGAGAGTATGGGAAAGAACATTACTGGCAAATTTGCTTGCGCAAAAACTGAACTGGGAAAAGAGGTCTGTGTGGCTAAAGTTCAGAGAGTATGGAGAGAGTAGTGGGAGATGAGGCTGTACATAGATGGAGGCAAGTTTATTTTGGAGGCCTCTGTGCCAATTAAGGGTGAGGCTTTATCTTTAAAAACCATTGGAGGATTTCTGGGCTCCTGGGTGGCTCAGACGGTTAAGCGTCCGACGGATCTCACAGTCCGTGAGTTCAAGCCCCGCGTGGGGCTCTGTGCTGACAGCTCAGAGCCTGGAGCCTGCTTCCAATTTTGTGTCTCCCTCTCTCTGCCCCTCCCCTGCTCATGCTCTGTCTGTCTCTGTCTCAAAAATAAATAAAAACATTAAAAAAAATTTTTTTAAACCATTGGAGGACTTCTGTCACCTCTAAGGGAGGTGATAAAGTCATGTATGTTATGTATATCCACTTGCCATAGTCCTACAACCTTGAAGTTCCAGGTTTTGAATATTCTGCACTGCTGCCTTTATGTGTCTTCTTCTGGCTCTTCCATGTTTTCCTTGAGATTTGAGTTTGAATGTTTCATTTGCATTTTTTCCTTTCACTCAGTTCCACCTAAGGAGAAATTTTAAAACTGCAGCTCTTAAAAAGAAATTATTTTAAGGTTGTTGATTGCTCACAGTTCAGTCATTACGTTTTCGTTGAGCATTTGATTCTGGAGCCAAAGAGAAGAGCCATTTCCCTATACTTGAGATACTTTTATTTTACTGGGGGGTAGAAGTATGGTAAATAAATGTAAATGTGTAGTAGAGAAAGGAGCCGGATCAGAAAGTGGCTGGGAACAGGGAAAACCGGCTTTTGAGGAAGAGGAAATGTGGAAAGGCAGAGGTTTGCAAAAGGGCATGTTGTAATAAGAACAATGAGGAATATTCCCATGCAGTTGGGAGTTCAGGGGGAGCAGGTGGAACAGCATGAAATGAAATTGGAGGGATTGGTTGAGGATAAAATAAAGGGCCCTGTATGGTATCCTGGGGTTTTAGGCTTTGTCTTGCAGGGAATAGGCAATAATGGAGGTCTTTTCACAAGACACTCGACGTTAAAAACAATTATTCTGGTGGCAGCCTGAGGACTGTACTGGAATTAGGAGAAACTAGGAACCAAGGTACCATTTGGAGTGTTGCAGTAGTTAGAGTCCACAGGGGAAGGAAGGGATGAGAGATTGAAAAGTAGTTAAGGTTTAAAAGTAGCTTTAAAATCGCTTTAAAAAGATGATGAAGTGTCAAAAATAAGTCTCCGGTGACTGATAGGATACTATCAGGAGGGCAGCAAGGAGAAAAATCGCCTTCCTTTGAGCCATACACACACCTATATTTATATCCTTTTAAAAGGTTTGTTACAGCATTAACCAATACAAGTCAGTGTTAAGTATGCTCAAGTAGCTTGAAGAATTCAATTAGACTTGACATTAGAATGGTTTAATGTTTACTTAGACTTTATGTAATATCGTTTGGAGGACAGACTATTAGTAATTGTTAACGTCTGCTGAGTAGCTGGCGGCGTTCTTAGTTCTTTACATACATTGTTTCAGTTAATCCTCAATTACTCTGTGAGGTAGGTACTACTATTATCCCCATTTTCCATAAGAAACAGGCTCACTGTGTACATTGTAAGAGAACAAGTACTCTGTTTCACATTTTGTTGTCTTCCCTGACTTTACTCTTCAGGCTCTCTGGCAAAAATACTTGTTTCGTGCACATTGTTGGACGTAGCAGAAGAAACCCATCTAGAGTACAGCAGCCTGCTGAACATGGGTGAGCACAGGTGAATGGATACAGCTCGGGTTGGTGTAAAAGCACGCCAAGTTGAAATGTGCCCTTGGCTTTGGTTGAGTCCTCGTCCCTTCAAAAGAAAGGATGGTATAAAGCAAGCACGCGCATTTCAAAGAAGAGGTCGTCAGTTGAGTGATAAAGTCAATGATCGAGCAGTAAAGTGGGGAGCAGGAGGCCGTGCTGACATTTTTCTTACCCTGTGAGTTAGGGAAAGTGGGAGGAAGATGAGACTCCACGGGATAGACTTGAGGAAAGTGGCATCACTTATGAGAAAGCTAGGTTTTAGTTGGGGCTAAGATGTGGGAAGAGAACTTGTGGCCAAGTAAACAATACTGGGAAATGTAGTCACAATAAACTAGGGAAGTCTAATTGTATGTTCCAAGGGACATGGTGGCAGGGGGTTATGAAGGAAAGACCAGTGAGTAGCAGGTTCAGGGGCCGAACAGGTAATGGTACCAGAGGAATACATGGGGTAGAGAAGTCAAGGTCCTTTCCCTTATGACCTGATACAACCTATACACCCTTGGCCGTAACCTTTAGCTGTTAATCTATTAATTGTGTTCATCTATTTTCAGATCTCTCTGTTCCTTCTCTCTGACAGGCTTCTGCAGTCAGGGGCTATGCCTTACACATTATTGTATCTGTATCTGGCACACAGCACCAGTAAATGCTTATTGAATGAAAAGTGTAGGAAAGAACAGATGAATGGATCATTGTGCCTAGTAGGCAAGACTAGACTAACATGGTTGGGAAATAGGTGGGGGTAGACAAGGGTGGTCCAAGATAACTTATTTGGAGAAGTTTCCAGAAGCATCTTCTCGGGCCTGAAACCCAACCTTAAAGCTCAGCACTATAAGCCAAGGCCCTTAATCCTTGCCTGGCTCCAATGATCCCCTTTCCCCCAGGGCTAGACTCCACAAAATCCGGCACCTCACCAAAAAGTCAACAGTTCTGACATCCGCTGACATTAAGAGCCACGGATGTGTGTGTGTGTGTGTGTGTGTGAGATATGCCCACCCTTCCCCCTCCCCCTTCCAGCTACAAATTCTGGCCAGTCCTGGTTGGTCTTTTGTCCTCCCAGACTCTGACAGTTCTTAGCCACATGGATTCTTTTGAGCTCTGAAAGCAGAATGGGGGGATTGGCGATGAGGGTTGGTGACAGCGACTTTTCCCTCAGAGTTTAGAGCAGGAGAAGCACAAGAGCTCCATTGTTTGAGAGACACAGGAGGGAAAAATATTTAGTGTAAAAATTTTGTAAAACATGTACTCCGGCTGCGTCAGTTTCAGCAGTGGTGCTCCCCTATGAGGTTGGGGAGGGAGTTTTTGTGAAGGGGTGGTCCAAATCTCAATGGTAAGGAAGTTACGATGCTTCAGAGGACCTGAAGAGAATCTATATAAATCGTAAATAGTACACCCAACTCTTCCTTTAAATGATCTAAGTTCTTGCAGTGGTGGGGAAGATTCAGTGTGCTTAATTTCAGACAAATTACACTGACACATCTCTCTTTGCAAGTCCCTTCATAAGTGTTACGGGACGGAGAAATACTTCACACCAAGTGTATCTGACAGACCATTTTCTTTAACCCTAAGAGATGAATGTTTCATATTTCTTCTGAAATACTTGCTGACTCTGATTTCAGATGGAGGTGCTCTTAGAAGAGTGTCCTCTGAATATGAAAGGCTGGGATTTGAGAGTAAGTAGTAGCGTGGACTCTGGAATCCAGGTGTCTCGTTTTACTATTTTCCATCTGCGTTGCATCAGACAGCAGAGGTTAGCATTTCATTTTTCATGCTCTCATAGCCCTATTTCGGGTCTGTGCTTTTGAAAAAGTGGTTTCTATTTTTATCATAGAGAGTCTTTATTTGTCCGTGGAGCGTACAGTGTGTAGGTTATATGCAACGAAGTTTAAATTCTAGACTTGTTTCTGTTACCCTTCATTTGCCAGCCCACACGTAGAAGCACAGAGTCGTGTTAATATCAGCTAAAGAAAAATTTAATTCGGAAGGCATATCTGCCAAAAGCATTATACAGCTGTAGATAGACCCTCATAGGATATACATGTACAATGGTATTTTCAATCCGGATGATAGTTTTGGAATCTAGGGTCCGTATTCTTCTCCACTGGTGTGCATACTTGAGGAGAAGTTTTTGTATTTTTGAAAATCAAAATTTTGCCCCTTGAAGCCCATTAAAAACTGGAGGAGAGAAAATTTGCCTATATTCATTCCAAACATAGTAGAAGGCTACCTCAAAAACAGCTTACACTCATCTTTTTCAGAATCAGAAAGCTGATTTCGAATTTAAAAGCTGAGACAGCAGC